TGATGCACATTTTTTAATAAAATTTTTTAAATAATCTAGTTAAAATCGTAATTAACAAATAGAAATTATAGAAATTTTTTCACTAAAGATATTTAAAATATTCTAAGAAAAATGTTTCATAAATAAATTAATTTTGGAAATTTTTCTATAAAAATGATGCAAATATTTTTTTCTTTCAAAGAAGAACAGAATTTTGTTAACAAATTGTGATAAGAAATAGTAATTCTATAAAATTTTTTCTATACTTTTTAAAAAAGAAACTAATTTTTTAAACAAAATTGTGATTTAGAAGCAGAAAAAATGCAAAATAGTTTTTTATTTCTCAATCTTCATTTTTTTAAAAAATTTTTTCTAACTTTTATCAAAAATTTTGGAATTTTACAAATTTTAGGAAAATAAATATTAGAAATCATAACTATTTAGAAAATTTTTTTAAACAATTTTCTAACTTCTATCAAAAATTTTGGGAAAATAAATATTAGAAATCATAACTGTTTAGAAAATTTTTTTTAACAATTTTCTAAATTCTATCAAAAATTTTGGAATTTTACAAATTTTAGGAAAATAAATATTAGAAACCATAAAACTTTTTAGAAAATTTTGTTTACAAATTTTCTAACTTCTATCAAAAATTTTGAAATTTTACAAATTTTAGGAAAATAAATATTAGAAATCATAAAACTTTTTAGAAAATTTTGTTTACAAATTTTCTAACTTCTATCAAAAATTTTGGAATTTTACAAATTTTAGGAAAATAAATATTAGAAATCATAACTATTTATAAAAACTCTTTTTTAAAAATCAATACTTGTTAGAAAAACTTTTTTTAGAAAACATATTTCATTAAAAATTGCTTTTTTTAGACAAAAAGGATTAGAAAATAATTTTTTAAAAAAAGTGACCACCTACCATGGGGTTGAATAGAAATTTCATTTTTCCGTATAATTTTAACAATGGCTATTTTAGAAACAACTAAAAAATTTCGCTTATACACCCAGAGAAAAAATATATTTATATTTGACTCAGAACCGCATTTAGACTTTTTATTATTTTCAAATAAATTTTATTTTGGTTTAAATAAAATTTTATTTTGGCTCAAATACATATTTTATTTATGTCGAATGAAATTTTTATTTTAAACAAACAATTAAACTAGTAATAAATATAATAAATATTCTGTAATAAATATACATATATTTAAAACTGAAATAAAATATATTTGATGTAAATTAAAATTTTTCTTTGTGTGAAAAGTGAATAGTTGTTACAGGTGAAAATTTTTTTTTTTCTTTAATTAATAATTAAAAATTGAAACTAAAAAAAGAGATGAGGGGGGGGGATTAAAAAAAATATTTTACATAATTTATAGACGATAACTAAAGAAATTATCGTATAATATCAGTGGGTAAATTCATCAGAAAATTATATATAAACGATCGCAAGGGCAAATTAAGTAAAATTTCCTTGGATGATAATCGTCAATTTGAGACCCTCTCTCATGTCGAACTTTATAAGCGACATTTAAGCTTTTCGTCGTGTCATCAAGTTTTCAGCCTTTATGCGACTAAAGTGATTTCGATGTTGAGCAGAGAATTTTGTTGGGATTAAGAGAGGAGGAGGAGGAGAAATTTTGTTAAAGAGAGGGAATTTGAACCTTGGACATGTTTGTAAGGAGAGGGCGGAGAGGGGGGCAAAAGTAGGAAAATAGGGGGGGGGGGGGGGGTTAAACAAAGTTTGATTCCAGTATCTCAGACAACTTTGCCCGGCAAGACTTAACAAATAGGTAAAGTTTCATCGTCGGCCAACACCGGCGGATTTACCGGGAGAGACTACGACATCCTTCTCTTTGTTCCGCAAAATTTGTAATGCATTATCCCCCCTCCCCTCCCCTCTTCCCATAAAATCCTTGTAAAATTTTCTCCATTTTTCATAAACAATAGGAAAATTTTTTTTATTTTATTTGAACAACTTTCAAGTATTTTTTTATTTCTTTTGGAATTTAAACTAAATTTAATTTCGAAAAAATTAGTCAAATGGTAAATTTCCCATATTTTGGAATATAAACAAAATTTCTTTTCATTAAATGCAGGAATAACGAGAAAAATAGGAAATATTCTTTTTTTTTTCATTATTCGCAAATGTATAATTGCGATTAATTTTTTTGGCGAAAGAGAGAGAAAGAGAAAAAAGTCACTCTTTTTTTTCGTTACATATATATGTATTGAAATCGAGGGAGAGTTTTTGCTTAAAATTTCGGTGTTAGGGAAATCCGATAATTTCATAGCGTTTTGAACGAGCTAGTAGGGAAAATTGCGTCCATAATCTGCGTAATACCAACAGTAACATGGTAATGGCTTGAGCACCTGCGCGCTGTTACGATCCATAAATTTTTATATTCGCGGTTTATATGTATTTATACTGATTTTAAAGAGAGCTGCAAAATTTTGCTTTTAGGAAAAAGCCTATTGGAAAGTCAAGGCGGGGCGATTAAACAAAAAAAAAAAAAAAACGAAAAAAAATCACGAAAAAAAGTGCAAAAAAAAAAATGAAACAAAAATATAAAACGAAAGAAAAATATGGAAAAAGAAACAAAAATATAAAAAAAGAAACAAAAATAAAATAAGAAATAAAAATATAAAAATAAGGAACAAAAATAAAAAAAGAAACAAAAATATAAAAAAAAACAAAAATATAAAAATAAGGAACAGAAATATAAAGAAAAGAAATAATTTTTATTTATCCATTTTATATTTTATAAAAAGGAGAAATAAAAATATAAAAAAGAAACAAAAATACAAAAAGAAGAAATGAAAATAGAAAAAAAGAAACAAAATTATAAAAAAATTAACTAAAAAGTATAGAAAAAAAATTGAAAACAATTTTTATTATCACAGAAATAACAACTGCGTTATAATTATTGTAACAATTAATTCTTTCTTATAAAAACGTATTAAATAATTTTAGTTTCCTGATAATTTATAACGATGTGAAATATAAATTTCCATTAAATTCAAAATTAGATTTTTTAAAAATAAAAAATTTTCTTGATATAATTTATAATATAAAATTAATGTTTTCCGATTTAAAAAAAGGTGAGAAATCAATTCTTGTAACATGTTATCTTTTTGAGTGTGAGAGTCGATAATGAGAAATTTAATCGTTCAAAGTGGAAATTGCAACATTCTCAGTCACTTACGTGTTAATTATTCACAACTGTCAATGTACTTTCCTTACATATATGTGTGTTCAGTACCAAAAATAGTTGGACTTTATTTTCTTAACAATATTTAATTTTGTTTCCATTTTCTTCCACTCGTAATAATTAGAATTCAAATTATTTATTATTATTTAAATCTATTATTGTTATTCAAATCATTTATTATTATTTAAATCAATTATTGTCCTTTAAATCATTTATTATTATTTAAATAAACTATTGTTATTTAAATCGTTTATCATTATTATTATTTAAATAAACTATTGTTTTTTAAATCGTTTATTATTATTATTATTTAAATAATTTACTATTATTTAAATCATTTATTATTATTTAAATCATTTATTATTATTTAAATAATTTACTGTTATTTAAATCATTTATTATTATTTAAATAATTTACTGTTATTTAAATCAATTATTATTATTTAAATAATTTATTGTTATTTAAATCATTTATTATTATTTAAATAATTTACTGTTATTTAAATCATGTGTTATTATTTTCTAAAATTTAAATATAAAAAAAAATTTTTTTTTTAAAAAGTCCAAATTTAAATTATTTTACTACTTGAAATTCAAATATTTAAAGAAATTACTTGATTATTTAAATTATTTTACTATTTTAAATTAAATTATTTAAAGAAATTAGTTGATTATTGAAAATAGAGTATTTAAAGGAAAAAAAAGAAGCTAATTTTGATTCTAAAAAAATTTAATGTCACGAAAGGTTAGGTGTCACTAAGAGAAGCTTCGAGACGCCGTCGCCTACGTGGCGCTAGCGTTCTTTTTTAAAAAAATAGCGGGGGCCCTACCTTTACTATCCTATTTTTCCCTACTCTCATTTACAAATAATTATAATTGTTATTATTATTATTATTTTTATTATTATTATTATTATATTTTCTTACATTGAAAAAAATTCATTATTATAACTATTGTTAAATTTTTTTATTGATGCATTGATTTTATTATTATTATTTTATTTTTCTTTTATTATTATTATTTTAACAATTATTCTTATAAACAGTACAGATTTAGTAAAAATAACAAAAAACCAAAATAATAAGCGCAACAATCTAGAATCAATGAACAAAAAGTGTGCGCACGTGCCAAAGAATCATTTTCTCTCTGTGTGTGTGAGAGAGAGAGCAACACCTATATATGTGAGCGAGAGGGAAGGGGTGTGTCAAGGGGGTGGTTCATTGTGACAATAATATCGCCTTAGGCGGCATTGGCGAAGGAGGGATGCAAATTTCGTGCATGTCGCCCCAACCGCGAAGAGACGAACCAACGTCGGTGTGTTTGTCCCTTGGGATTCGAACGCTCCGTTTTTTTCCTTTTTCTTCTCCTTTTTTTTCTGATACTATATAAATATACTGCAACATTTCCTCCTTTACTCTCTCTCTCTCTCAAAAAAAAAAAAAAAAAAATTTAGTGGGAGGGGGCAAAAGAGTCTCTTTTTTTAACCAAATGTGCTAAGTACGACAATGAATAAGTCACGTGTTATACACGCGAATGTATATATACTTGACGAAAGACAAACGAAAAACTCAGCTTAATTCACCGCCAGAAAAAAAGGGGTTGTTCATATTTTGATATTATAAAGTACCATCCATCTTCAGTTTGGGGACTCTTAAAAAAATTTTAACCCTTATTATTATTTTTATATCTTTTTTGCATTTGAGTGGAAACATTTTTGTCTTTTTTTCTTTTTTTTTCTGATCTCGAAAAGTTTCTCTTGTTTCTTTATTTATCTCTATTTCCCTTCTGTTTGTTGCAGCATCCGGCACCTTGAACAATCACCACGACGACACCGATCATCGTGAGTATTTTATTTATTTATATGATTATTTATATTTTATATCCTATATATTTTTTTAATTTATGTTTAGAAATTTAAAAACTTTCATATAATTAAAATCTTTAATAATTTTCTTTACAAAAGTAAAGAAAATAAAGTAAAGTAAAAAAATTAAAAGAAAAGAATTAAGTAAAGAATTAATGAAAACAATTAAATTCAAAATCTTAAATTAAAATTTAAGTTAAAATTAAGATTAAAATCGTTAATAATTTTCTTTACTGTGCAGTAAGAAAAATGATTAAGGACTTTAATTATATGAAAGTTTTTAAATTTCTAAACATAAATTTAAAAAAAAATATATTTTTTTAGTTTATTTTAGTCGTTTGAATAATAATTTAAAAATATCTTTTATTCGATTTGAATTTTTATTTTTTATCGTTGAAAAGAGAAACACGAGCCGGCGTTAATTATATAATTCAATTATTAATTGTACGATAAATATTGTTATAATTGTCGGGCGTAATTTATCTCGCGACTATATAGAAAGGAACAATTGACATATTAATTGACCGCGATAAAATCGGTTATTTTTTTTAATTATTTCACATTTAGTGCATCATTCAATTTCTTATTTTTACTCTCTATTACTCTAATATTATAATTAGTCAAAAGCTGCCAATTGAAATTTTCTACTTATTTTTTTTTTTTTTTGACTAAAACTTAAGTAAAAAATTTATAACTACGAAATGAATTTATAATTACTACTCCAAACTATTGATATTTAAAAATTTTTAAATTTTAAATCTTTTAAACATGTTATGAATTTTAATAATTTCTCAAAATTACAATTAAATTATTTAATTCCTTCCTGAATTAAATTATTTTCTACTATTTTTAACTAAACTTCATCTCTGAATCAATTAATTTAAATAATTTTCCATATTCCAAAAATTTCCATACTATTAAAATTTGGTAAAATCTTTTTAAAATAATTGAACTTTTGAAAAGTGTAAATAAAAATGATCAAATTTTTAAAGAATTTTAATTAGAAACAGGACCATGATTTCTCTAAAATTTTAATAAGTTGAAAAAGTAAATTTTGAATCTTAAAAAATTATTACAAAACAATTCTAATAATTAGTTTTTAAAAATATTTTATTATTGTAACTTTTCGAAAATTAAATTTTTCTTAAAAGAATTTTTGTATAGAATTTAAAAAAAACTAACGAATTTTTTCATGAATTTTAATTGAAAATTTTGAACATTATTGTTTTCTCCAAAATTTATTTATTTATAATACACGGGCAACAAGATATTAAAAATAATTCTAAAATGTTATTATTTTTGGAAATATGTAATTAAAAATAATTACAAATATTGAAGTTTAAAGAATTAGAAGCTAATTTTCATTTTTAAATTTATCTTTAAAGATTATTCATTAAAATTTTTGTTAATTCAATTATTTTCAAAAATTGCAATTAAAATTCTAAAAGTTGATTTTTCAAAAATTTTAACAAAATACTTGAAATAAATTAATTATTTTCAATTAAAATTTTACAAAATTTTAACTATATTCAAAACCAATTTTTGAAAGATTTGTTTATAGTTATTTTTTGCATTATAAAAATGAAAAAAAGTTGCAATTTTTTACTATGAAAATTGTGTTATTTTGTTGCAATGTTTAGATGAAAAGTCGAAATAGTCGCAATTCTTGAAAATTACTCGAAAAAGTCTCAATTTTCTAAATTTCCCTGACAAAAAAATTTTTTTATGACATCTGACAAAAATTTTGTGATTTCTCAAAAATTTTAATAATTCCAAAAAGTAAATTTTGAATCTTAAATAATTATTACAAAACAATTCTAATAATTAGTTTTTAAAAATATTTTATTAATGTATTTCTTAAAAGAATTTTTGTATAATTTAGAAAAACTAATGATTTTTTTGATGAGTTTTAATTAAAAATTTTGGAGATTATTGTTTTCTTCAAAATAATTTTAAAATGTTATTATTTTTGTGGAATATGTAATTGAAAATATTAAAAATATTAAATTTTACAAAAATTAGAAGCTAATTTTCATTTATAAATTTACCTTTAAAGATTTTTCATTAAAATTTTTGATAATTCAATTCACAGTTTTCTTGAAAGTATCAAATTATTGATTCTAAAGCGGATCATAATATATTGATGCAAAAAATTAGGATCAATATTTTTGATTTGAATTACATACATTTTTCGCATCAATTCGTTGCAATTTGATACTTTTAAGTTAACAGTGTTATAGAAATAAATTTTGTTTTAATGTGTCATGGAAATTTTATCATTTATCACCTGGAAACCGCAAAGAAAAATCATGGAATTTTTTAGAAACCCTGTAATTATTCCCAACGATTGGATATATATCGAAAGAAGGGAAAAAAAAGAATAAGAAACAAAATGCGACGCCAATGGATGCATATGCGCGTGGATTGACAATGCAAGGCATCGAGAAAGAGAGAGAGAGAGAGAGGGGGGGGGGGTGGAAGAGGGATGAGAAAAGCAAGGGATGAGAGGAGGTGGAGACGCTCTAAGGTACATAATCATGCTTGCTGATTCCTTCCCTAATAAAAGTCTCACTGTCACTGTTTCCCTCCCTCCCCGCCGCCCTTCTTTTACTTCGGTCCACATCCCGTGTATGTCTATCGTCGACGTGCAACGGAAAAGACAAAAGTGCATGCCTGCAGCGAGAGGGTATGTGATGCACCCTTACATATGTATATATGTGTATGTATAACTGACGTGCCCCCTGCATCACAACGTTTGTTCGTTTGTGTCTGTGTGTGTGTGTGTGGTGAGAAGCAAACGTAGTGGGATAAGACAAAGAGAGAGGGACCCGAGAATTACGGGTCAGAAATGCTTCGCGATGCACCATCTGGAGTTGCAGTTTTTTTTAATTTCCCGATGATGCACTACTCCCAAGAAATTCTCATATATTCAAACCCCCCTAGTGATGCACAATAGTCCATGTAGAACATCCGAGTAAGGAGAGAGTGAGGGAAAGTCAGAAATACTTCCGCGACTTGGAGGAATCGATTGCAAGGGTCTTTTACATACAAACGAGACTTTATTTTTTTTTTTTTTGGTTTTTCAGTTGATATACGAAACGAAAATTGAAAAAAATTTTTCGGTACTTATAAATTAGCAAATTTATTTCGTGACGAAATTATAAAACTTGTTTTGTAACGAATCTTACTCTCTAAATTTGAATTTGTAAAAATGTTTACTAATTTGAATTAGTAACTGACTTTTTGCTTTTAAATTAGTAAAATTTACTAATAAATAGTAATTTCTTCTAATATATTAGTAAAAATTACTAATAAGTAATAAATAGTAATTTCTACTAATATATTAGTAAAAATTACTAATAAGTAATAAATAGTAATTTCTACTAATATATTAGTAAAAATTACTAATAAATAGTAATTTCTAATAATTTATTAGTCAAATTTACTAATTCAAAAGCAAAAAGTAGCAGTCACTAATACAAATTAGTAAACATTTTTACTAACTCAAATTTAGTGAGTAAACTTATTGTTTTGTGATGAAACTATAAAACAAATTTTTTTGTCGAAACTGAAAATATATTTTCGCGTCTAAAATAGAAAACGATATTAAGTTTCTTGTCAAACCGAAACTAATAAATTAATAAACTAAAATCAATTTCGTATGTCAATACGAAAGCGATATAAAAAACCAAATTAAGTTTCTTCTGAAACTATAAACTTTCAGGATTTAATTCAAACTCAAAATTTCATTTCAGCTTAATTAGCAAAAGTTAATTTAGTTTTCTTTCAAAGTTTTTCATATACAGAAAAGCAACTAATCAAAGCAATTGAATAGATACTAGAAAGTATACAATTAAAATAAACAAAATGAACAGTTAAGTGTAATAGTTAATTTAGAATTAACTATTTGCCATTTAATTGCAATTAATTAATTATATTACATTGCAATAAATTAATTCTATTACATATTGCTATTAATTAATTGTATTTGATTGCAATTAATTAATTAATTGTTATTAAATTGCAATAATCAATTAACTGTATTTAATTGTAATTCAAACTTAATTAATTAATTGTAATTCAAACTTAATTAATTAATTATAATTTATAAACTAGAATTGTTTATAAAAAATCTTAAAAATCAAATTAATACATTGTTATTTAATCAAAAAATAATTTTCTTCACTCGAAAATTCAATGCATTTCAATAATTGTAGGTAAATAATTAATTACAACAGTTTGTACAATTTTTTAATAAACAAATGAACTATAGTTATTATAGAATAAAAAATGAATTAATTTAATTGTAATCTAATTGTAATTTACTTGTAATTAATAAATTAAAATTGTTTATTCAATTTCTTGATAAAAAAAAAAATTAATAATTTGTTATTTAAATAATAAATAAATTTTTTTTAGTTGAAAATTAATTTATTGCATTTAAATTGTTACTAATTAATTACAAATTTTTGTACAATTCTTAAATAAACAAACTAATAAATTGTTATTTAATTAACAAATAGTTGTTTTTGTTGAAAATTAATTGGAAACATTTCAATTGTGAATAATTAATTACAATTGTTTGTACATTTTTTAATAAACAAATTTATAAATGGTTATTTAACAAAGAAATTGTTATTTTTCAATAAAAAATGAAATAATTGCATTTTAAGTTAATAATAATTAATTAATTAAAATTTGTTGTCAAATTTGTTAATAAAGAAATTAATAAATTGCTTTTTAATTAACAAATAGTTGTTTTTGTTGAAAATTAATTGAATACATTTGAATTGTAAATAATTAATTATAATTGTTTGTACAATTTTTTAATGAACAAATTAAAAAAGATTTATTTAACAAAGAAATTGTTATTTTTCAATAAAAAAATGAAATAATTGCATTTTATTTTAATAGTAATTAATTAATTAAAATTTTTTGTCGAATTTGTTGATAAAGAAATTAATAAATTATTGTTT